ACTTTTTTTATAGAAAAAATACATTTTCTATTAATTTTCTCAATTTTGTAAAAAAATGAGTTGGCCTCATAGGCTCCTTTTTCAAATGATATACTGAAAGTCTAGTTGACATGGTTCTAGAAACTAGAAAGATCCTTATACAACACAAGCCAGAAAATGTCATTATATAACAAAAACTTTATCTTTATCCATATAATTCATGTATTAGGATTAAATGGGATTCCAAATTAAGAGAACATGCCAAACATTCAAAGCATACTTTCTTGCAATCTCTAATTAAAAACTCAGCTATTTTTTAAGCATATGGGTTCTTCAAGTAAATAGTATATGCAATTTGTAAATAAATTTTATTCATATTTTTGGACTGGTCCAGGCATTTTTTTTTTTTAATTTGTTGTTGTAAAAAAAAATTTGTTTTATTTTTTTTTTTTTGCTTTTCACATCAAAGGAAAGAAAGGATTAAGAATTTAATGACTCAATAACATTTAACCGCATTTCTCAAAGTCATTAAATCTTTAAATTTTTGAATAGTACAACAATGACTTATAATATGTAGCAAAAATATTGGTCCTTTGAAAGTCTATGCTAAAAAATTGAACTACTATTTTGTTTAACATGAAGATAAGTAGAATCTGCATTAAAGTAAAGCTTATAGAGATAACACAACTTAGAATTTGAGTCATGCATTTAAGTTTATAACTATTAGGTTGAGCTCTTATTAAATGCACCTTTATTGGAAACATAGTATGTCTTAATGATATTTTAAGAATGTTGTCTTAAACGGGTTTTACACATGCAATTAATTCATAGATGGCAAAATATTAATTGATTGTTGGTTTATACTTTATATAGCTAGGATGCAAATTAATTTCCTTTACTTTAAATATATGCATATTATTAATCTAGGGCTTACTTATATTTATTTGTTCATGCAACTATTTTTAAAATTCGAAGATCAACACTTACAATCATTTCTCATATACTTCTTTTAGTAAAAAAAAGTTAAATTTTTCTTTTATCTTAGTGTGTACAAATTGGATTCCTATACTTTATTTAATTATCAAATTTAGTAAATTGTTAATGATTCAAATTTTTTTCGTTAAAATTGATAACGTGGCATTTTGACTTTTTTGACATAGCATTTTTGTTACATAGCTATTGACTTTACTAACGTGTAAAATTCATGTGGTCAAAGATGATGACATGGTAAAAATTTTTGACACGTCATTACTTTTTCATTCCAATTTTTTTCAAATAATACAATTTGTCTTTATATTTTGGTCAAATAGTGAAGTTAGCTATTCTATCTTAATATGTGTTCAAATTTAATTCCAATACATTAATTAATATTAAATGTAAGATTTAACCTAAAATAAGTAAAATAAAACTAAAATAAAAGACAAAAACTTTTCAATGCAAATAAGTCTAGTCGTAACAAAGTCAATACATAGGTAAATATGTGAGTTACATCAAATTCGTCTTCTAAAACGATACCGTTTCAACCTGTCATAAAAACAAAATTTTATTTTTTTAATTTCTCTTTTTCTTCTCTCTCATCCTCATTTTCCTATCGATTCTCTCTACAAGTCTCATTCAATGAACTCATATTTAAATGGAATTTTTGGAAATTAGTGATTGAAAAATTGAAAGATCATAAAAAAAAAATTTATCCAAAAAACTAAAAAATCATCAACACAAAAAAATCGATCATCGACACCTCTGTTTTATGTTAACGTTTAAAACAAAACTGAGTATAATACCCTAAAATTTCTAAACTTGAAAGCTTTAAAAAAGAATTTCTCAATAGAAAATTATTTTTAATTGTTTTTGTTGGTTGTCTTTGTTTTTGTTGTGCTATTTTATTGATTTATATTGAATTCTCAAAATTTTTCCAAATTAATCTTTCCAAAAAATTTTCATCTTTTCCTTATTTTTTCAATTTTCAATTTTTTTTTGCTTTTTTTCTATCTTTTACTTCTTGACTTTCACCAACTAAACAATAAACATAAATAAAGAAAATAACAAATAATAAATAAAATACTTCAGGATCTTTAAATTTGGATTTAAAATCTAATTTCTTAATTAAAGCCCAATTGATCCAAAAATGATTTTAGAATCCAATGTCGAGATGAATTTCGAAACCTATTCAATATAAAAAAAAATAAATGTCTACAATTGCTTTTTTTGTTGATTGTATATCTGGGTTTGTTAATTATGAGTTTCTTGATCTAACATTTACTTTTTTATCATTTCAAAAGTTTATTTATTTATTATTTATTTTTTATATTTCAAATATATTAAAAATAAAAATTAACAAAAGATGAAAATTTGAATAGAACTTTGGATTCTTCTTCCCTAATATGCAACTTGTCTATCCATTTTAGTGATTTCAATATTGTTCTTGGCTCTTTTGGTTTTTTCTGAAGACATTCATGTAGTTATCTCTTAGGATAAAGTGGAAAATTTGTCTAAATAAGATGCCATATTTTGTAATATTGGAATTTTTTTTGTGAATTTCACTAGATTATTCCAATAAATCCAACATTTTTTCTTAATTTTCTTCCTTCAAAAATGCATTTTCTGTCAACTCAAAACTTAATTTATTAGTTCATACAACTATCATCGATGAAGTATTATTTAGTAGATTTAATATTCAAATTCCAATAATAACAATTGTTTTCCCCTATTCCCAAGTTGTAGCTTCTTTTATAAAAAAAAAAAAAAAAGAAAAAATTGCATTTCTATTAATTTTCTCAATTTTGTTAAAAAATGAGTTGGACTCATAGGCTCATACTTGATATGATATGCTCAAAGACTAGTTGGCATGGTTCTAAAAACTAAAAAAAACCTTATACAACACGAGCCAGAAAATTTCATTTCAATAACAAAAACTTTATATTTATCCATATAAATAGGATTCCAAATTAAGAGAATGCTAAACATACAAAGCATACTTTCTTCCTGTCTTTAATTAAAAACTCAGCTTTTTTAAGCATATGAATTCTTCAAGTAAATAGTATATGCTGCCTGTATATTAATTTTATTCGTATTCCTGGGCTGATCGAGATGTTTCTTTTTTTTTTTGTAATTTGTTTAAAGTATATGCAGACACTAGAAAATTAAAAGTTCATAGGACTTCTGAAATTGGTTGATAGTTGTGACATGGTCATGCTAATGGCACATCAGTTTCTACCTTGTACTGGAAAACTTCCTATTTTGCAATTCAATAAACATATTGATAATTGGAAACATGCTTCATTTTTCTTTAATTATTTAGTTTTTTGTTTGCTTGTCCTAGGAAGAAAATATGCTCTTAGTCCAAGGATAAGGTATTTGCTTTACATTCTTACAGTAATTTTATACTTCAAATTTCTTTTCTTTTTTTTTATATTTGAAGCTTTTAAAATTTAAATTTCGATCATTGAAATAAAGATTCTAATATTTTATCAAAAGATCATGTAACTATTGACCATATACAATAATTTCACCAAGAAAAGTTATATATTACCAAGAATTTGCTAGAAGGGCCCGAGTCTATTGAATTTACAAATAATTGTAATACAAATAATTGTAATAAAACCAATACTTTAGATAAGGTAAATGCAATTATCTTTGCAGTTGCATTTGCATATTACATCACCAAGTCATAAGTTGAAAGTAGGAATCTAAAGGTCTCTTACACAGTCTAAATTGGTAGAGCATATCATTTACAATAGTAATTAACCAATCATAATTCAGTATTATGTGGGACCTAGAAAAAAATTATGTAAAATCCACACTTTTAAGTGGTAGACTTTTACATACTTCTTGATTATTTTTTATTAATCCTAGCATTGTAGGAAAGAAAATTGCAAGTGATATGGACCACCAAATTGAATGTCCCATATTTGGATTTCATCCCCTTTTACTCAACAACAAAACAACCTAAATTTGAAATTTGAAGTTTTATATTATTGCGAAGCTTTTTTTGCTTAACTCATGATTAACAACCATGTCATCTGCACCCTTGAATGAAAAACAAATTGTTGGTAACAATTATCAATCCAATGAATCTCAATCGAGGTCAGTGTCTGGATCCTCTGAATTGTGCTTGTAGAAAAAAGAAGCGGAATCTTTCATTAGTATGAAACTGTTAAGGCATGAAAAATCTGTTCCAAGGCATTTAGAACTAAACCCTGCTACCTCATTTCACTCTTTTAATGCATATAAACACTTCCTGCGGCATGCAAGTTTCCCCCGAACCAGAAAAAAAAATGAATCCAAACAAACCACATTTATACAAATAGCATAGAACTTTTGTAGTTCATCATTGGAGGGTCAAGAAATTTATGTGTCAGAGCCACTACCTGAATATTTGAAGCATTACAGGGGTCGAAGATCCTAATCTCACCTTGTGTAAGAAACGAGAAACTGAAAACCTAGCGTTGAGCCCATATGCAGTTAATCAATAGCGTTTCATTTGGTTGGGTCACGGTAGTAATGAGGCAATATCAGGTTCTGATTCAGCATATGTTTACGGAGCCATGAACACTATGCCAAGAGGTGATGCTTGTTATGCAGCATTGGAAAAGATCAATGCAACCAATGTTTCAATTGCCATAGCGTGAACTGATGGGGCCAAGCACCTTATGCAAGTAAGGAAAATACACTGAAATATAATCCCAACCTTCAATATCGTGAAGAGAGGTACGACTTATGGCTTCATTTATTTTTCGAAATGTTGGGTAAACCTGTTGAAGAGAAGCACTTTGAACTTTTCTATCCAAATATGCGACCTGTCAAGATTTTTTTCCGCTTGCTAATGGTAGAATCCAATTGTATTCCTTCAGTTCAGTATTGAAGTTTATACTACATTAACTTGAAACAAGGAGTAACTGATTTAGAGGATATATATATATATATATATATATATATATATATTTATTTATTTATTTATATATATTCTCCATCTGCCTTTCCTATGCTTGATAAGAATTAACATTCCCAAATTGTGAGAATTGAGCTATGCGACATAATCCCCAATAGCATTTCCTAACTTTATTCACGTGTAACTACAGCATTCATATATAAACATGGGCTAAAAAGAATGAAGGGATAACCATGAAAAATAAGTATGTAACATGAACTAAGATAAAAATGGAACTTTTTGATTTTTTTCTTTCCATAAAATTGAACAAAAACACAAATAAGCTATTTGTAAAATTGAACCCTCTTGAAAGGAAAGGAACTAAAAGGACAAAACATCCCTAAAGACGCAACTTTCCAGCATCTTCCCCACTGCAGACAAAATAGCCCCCAATCAATCCTTTCCTCAACCATGAACCAACCAACCTTAGAAACCTAAAGAATTCTCTGTTATAGGCGGGCAGGATTTATTGCACTATTTGCAAACTTCACATTCAAACCAAAACCCACCCCCTCCCACGCCCAACTCATCAGCTTTCTTTCAAACAGAAGACATCAAGAAAGAGATAAAATGAGGGGGAAAAAAAAAGAAAAAACTAATCTGCCATAAAAAATTGGAACTTCTTTGGATTTACTATGTAGGGACAGAGTAAGTCAAGCTTCAGATCCAGAGTCAGATGAGCTCAATTCAGAAGTAGCTCCATCCAAATTAGCTGCAAAAGATTGAGCCAGCTTTGGCTGCATGCCACGGCACAGTTTCAGAGATGGCCTCAGCTTCATGCACTAAAAAACCAAATGAATAGATAAAATAGGCAAATAGCATAAAATAATTGTCTAAACAATGAGAAAGATACTGATTAGCCATGGAATCAGATTGGAGATAAAAGCATAACAAATATACCAAATCTTCATGACTGTCCAATGGCTATAAAGAAAAAACATATTCCATTATGTTTACCATCCAACAGATAGTGCATGATCAGTTGCACATCATTTTTTATAAACTTAAAAGGTTCATTGGAGACAATAATACTAGGAAACAAGTCATAGAATGACTTCAATGAAAATTTATTGAATAATCAGCTATATCAGTAAAGGGAAAGTACAGCAAAAATGAAAAAAGAAAGATATATACCTCCTGATAAAAAGCATTGATCTCCTCTTCTGTAAGGCCTTCATCCTCACCAGAGTTCTCTTCCCAGCCAAGGGAACGAAGGAATGCAGCCTCTTCCTCATCAGGATAAACCATAGCAGTGGAGCTCATATTCTTTTCACCATCATCAGAAAATCTTCGAGCATCTTGACAGGTGCCACCATTCGTAGTTGCTGCGGTACCATTCTCATTAGCATGAGCAGTCACAGAAGCACTGACCACTTCCTTCGAAACTTCAGATTTCTCTGTGGTGGAAGATGAAATATGAGGGTCTGAATCTGAGAGACCAGCAGACATGTTTGTTGAGGTTTTCTTCTTCAAGAGATTAAAAAAATCATTTCGGCTCTGGGTTTGAGCCAAAGAAGGTTTCTTTTCCACAGTGAACCCAGGTATTGGATTCAAGCTAGCCACCTTGCGTTCCCCAACAGAAAGCTTTGGGTTGTTTGAGTTTCTTAGAGGAGCAGATGTAACAGTAGCAACAGCATGTTGGCTAGTTGTAACTCTTTTGTTCACATTTGTTGTTGGACTAGCAACATCTTTGTGAGTAGGGGATGAGACCCCATTCTCCCATCCTGGTTTGAGAACCAAAAGCTTCCCAGATGTCTTTGGCATATCAGACTTGACATGTCCACTAAGGGGAGATTGGTTACCATGATGAATCAAAGAAGGTTGCTGCTGCCCACTCTTGACAGCTATATTCAACTCACTTGTTCTGACTGCAGGTTTGGCTTTTGATTTATCCACTGAATAAAGAACCTGGGACAAAAAATTAGGAAATTATTATCTGGAATTTCTAAGTACTAATAAATGGTTCTTTTATCCATGCAGTGGCCAGGTAATGCCAGGGAAAAGAAAAAAAAAAAAAAAAAGAGCAGATAGCACACTAGCTAACTTGAGTTAATCTTGGCAGTTCAAAATCCCTTGAAGATGTACAAGAATAGTTTTAATTCGATCACATATCTATATCATGAAGTCATATCATAAAGAGAAGTCCTCATGAACTTCAAAACAAAATCCCATGTAAACAAAACAAGGGTGGAAAAAGAAAAAGAAAGAATGCTTGCTTAGGTGGTGGAAGAATAGATGGTACGGCATAACTTTTTTTTTTTTAATTCTAATCCATCACGAAAACAGTGAATAGGCTCCTTGAAAAATTTTACTGTTCATCAAATGACTATTTATTTGATGACTCTGATTAAACCAAATGCATGAGAACTATTGAGTTTCTTTCCAAAATCTCATTCTTGTCTTTCAATTATGATATGAGAAGATGATCAACAATCATGGCATACGCTTGAGACACAAATAATATAATCCTATATCTACCCTAACTTAAAATTTGCAACAACTTAAAGCAACATCATATATATGCGATATATTTTGACTTCAAGTTTATGCTAAATCATAAATGCCAAAGAACATTATCACCAACTATAGCTTTAAGAAAATTCAGGGCATCAAGGAACTTACCAAATCAAGTAATAATTTGTATCAGATAAAACAAGAAATATGTCTGAATAGTAAACTTGATAAAAGAGTAAGTTGAACCTAAATACTGCAAACATAAAGAGGCTAGGGAAGGAGAGAAGCAAACAATGGAGAAGGCAGCATGAGGGACAGGAAAAGAAAGTGCCATTGGTGCCAAAATTCCCAAACAACATTACAGTCAATCAAAGTTTGGTTTGTTTAACCACTGGAAAGAACATGGCATTTATGGTGAACCCACCTACAAAGTTCTGTAACTTATGGAGAAAGGCCAAAGATCTTTATAGCCATGGAAAAACTTAGACCAATGCAGAGCTCCTTACATATCATGGGAATCATAAAAAAAGTGCAGAAAAATCCCATGATAGTTGCCTAGCTTCTAAGTTCAAATGACAAAAATAACATTAACCAATAGAGCAAACGAGTGGAAGGATATCATAAATGAGTACAAATGATTTTGATATAAGAGGACAAGGGATCAAGACCAACTTTGGAGGCTATAATTTAGGGCTAAACGTGGGGAAAAGCCCTGCAATTAAGAAGAGAGTAATAGTTTTTGAGAAGGCTTGCAATAGTAACAGTTGGATAAGAAAACTATAGGTCTGAAGAGTTGTTTGGCCGCAGTTAACAGTAGTCAACAGCACAAATAAGGTTTAAGTAGAATTAAAAGATCACATATGAGTTATATTCAAGTTTAAAAGTTGCTGGAAATCTACAGAACAAGCAAGAAGATATAGCTTTACACCTAAATTCCTATGGGCATCAACATTAAATAAAAAACATGAATTCAGGTTTTCTTAAAACTTAATCTTAACTTCTATTGCAGCACCTAACTCATATGGAAGACTGACGTTCAAACTCCTCAGAGAAGTAGAAACTAGGAAACCAGAGCAGAATATTATTTTTAAAGGATGAAAATCAGAAAGGAACAGGACATAAGATCAGGAACAGCAAATCAGAAATGACAATGTGGTCACCATAATGCATCTCTAACCAAATACGATTTATTATTGTCATCAAGCCATTCTAAAAGGGAATCAAAATATTCAACAACAAGAACATGCATCTCTTTTGTTTGATAATAAGTTTGGTTATGTTGCCCTATCGACGATTTGACTGAAAAAAGAATATGATCCAGTATAAAAGTACCACAATAAAGCTTTCATGTAACATATAAAACCTAAATGTAGATCGACAGGCATTAGATATAACCAACTCTGATCAATATACATGACGTGAAACAAGGTTGAAGGAAAGGGAGGGGAACCAACCTTGTTTAATAGGGCTAAAACTACAACTAAACGCACTTAGAGACAACATGTTGCTGAAAGCTAAGGCAACTGGCTTACCAAACCCTTAGGCATCGAAGGTGTCACAGGTATTAATTGCCTTGATTGCTTAAGAGCCAGTTCCTCTCGTCTTTGAGTTTTGACAGATAACTGTATGAAAAAAAGGTCTAGTTAGATCACAGATAAAAGTTAAACGTGTAATAAGAACTTAGTGACCTAGCTAGTTACCTCGGGAGCAGTACGGGCTTGTGAAGGAGCTTGTGCTAGTGCTTCAGCCATATTAAGACCAGCTGTGATACTTGGAGACCCAGAACCTGAGGTGGAGATGGTTAGGGAAGCAGGCAAGGAACCTGTGCCACTACTTCCAACCACACTAGGCACTTCTGCCAGAGCTGAGGTCCATCCTTCCCCACAAATCAAAGCTGAATTACAAACAGGCAAACTCTGAGAAGCTGAGCTCAAACCAGGAGAAGAAACTCTAGCTATCTCAGGCACCCCTTGCCTCTCTTCAGTTCCAAGTGAGGGAAAATCTTTCTCAAACACAGCCTTGCTGATGCTAGTCCCAACAGTACCCCCGGAAAGCAGACCATTTCCATTGTTATGGTTACTATTACCACTATCTCTTGAGTCCACTGCAATCCTTCGAGGCAAAGGCTCACCCTGTTTCCTAGAGACTATAGAATGAGAACGCTGCAATGTATCTATCTCAACCCTACTGGTCGAGATACCTCCTAATTTCTCAACCCTACTGGTTAAGATACTTTCTAAAGGGTCAGAAGAATCACGGTCCCAATGGTCCCCCAAGCTCAACCTCTCTTTATCCCTTTCTCGATCCTTATCACGGTGACTCCTACTAAAGCTACTATAAGCATGCTTTGCAGAACCATTATTAGAACTCCTCCGTGAATTCAACGAAGATGTCTGATCCAAAAATGCTGAACGAGGGGAATCAAAATCACTTATATTCCTAGAGTTTCTATGTCTCCCGTGATGCACCAACGAAGAAACATCTAATGTAACAACAAGAATACAGTTATTATATATTCCCAAAATGATATACAAACATTCTATAAAAAGTAGCATAAAGGCAATGAGGAACACATTAATGAGCATACTAAAGGTGTGTCTAACAGACAGACACATGACCAAAAGTAACATTGTAATCAAGTATAAATGGAATGAGAAACGCAATGGGTATTTAAAAATTGGCGTACCAAAGGGTACCTGAGTGAGAAGAAGAGGAAGCAAAGTGGTGGGCTGAATTGCCACCCCCAGTAACAGTGCCAGTACTTCTCAACCATTCTGGAACTAATGCTGGTTCACTTCTTTCCATTAGGGATACTTAACATGATCATCAGGAAAAAAGAACCACTTCTTCCACCTTCTTCAAAGCCTAACTGACCAAATTAAATTTTCGTAGACAAAATCCCTAAGCCTATCCCTAGTCGACCAAAATCAAGGCCTCAAGGCCTGGGTCATTCAAAAATGGAAAAGAAGGAATTGTTTGATCAAAAGAAACAGATTGTTAACACAACGAAAACAAAGGCAATGGCAGGATATTATATTTTAATTATCACCCTATTTCTCCATCTTTTCAAAGATGGATTTGCAGATTGTTGATTTTCCAGTCTCAAATGAGACTCATATTCCCAATAAAAGAAAAAAAAAATCTGAACCCAACTTAGGCAAAAACAAACGCACAAGAACTATACCAAAACAATAGTTAACGCAGGAAAAATAGTCTATAGATTAAAAACCCTATTTTAAATTTTAATTATAAATTCCAACTGCTAGGGTTTGAAGGTAACAAGAAATTTGAAAATTCTAGACAAATGACAAGAAGGCAGAAAGAAGAAAAGAGAGAGTACTAACCCTAATCCCCGCTACGATTCCTGGCTATTGCCTAAAAAACGTAATCGTTTTTTTTTAAATCACCGTCCCCCAATCCAAACAATGTGTTTCTTTTTCCAGGAAAAAAGGATTAATTAAGAGGAAATAATAAGAAAGAAAACGAGAGAGAAAGTTTCAGTGAAAGAAGGAAAAAAAACGAAAGCGATGCAGAGAGAGAATACAGAGGAGGAAAGATTGCTCGAAAAATAAAAATGCCTTCTTTTTATGAATGCCCAGAAATTAGGGTTTTGTTTGAGTTTGTTTCAAGGGTAGAGGAGGCGTCAAATTTTTGTGTTAATTTTTTTTTTTTTTTTATACTGGGGAATGAAACGTATGAAGAACAGCCTCTTCTTCTAACCAAAAACAAAAAACTATGATTTTCTTTATTTTATTTTTTAAAACTAAATTTCTTTTTTTAATTTATTGTATTTATTTTGATATTGAACTGGACTTTTCTTTGAGAAATTTTGGCTTATATATGGTGTGCTGCTTTTCTCTAGGTTTTGCATTTTGTTTGGCAAACAAAGGCCCTATGTTGCTGGATGGTTGTTTTTGTCTATTATACTACTACTATCTTTTTGTTTTATTTTTCGTACTGTAGAGGTTTTTAAGGATCAAACATCTACGAGTTCAGTACGATCACATTGCCAATGGCACAATATTGATGAGGTTAAAAAAATTCCAAACTAGTATTAAGAAACCCAGAAAACATCTTATTCGATCGGGTTAAACCGGACCGATTTGCTATTAAACTAAGGTTTTTATTATTTGATACTTTCGTAAAATTCTTGTAAATGGTAAGAATTGAACTTTTATCTATTTAGGTTAATATTAAAAATAATATTTAAATTATGATTTTAAAATTATTTAAAATGATATTTGAAATATAATTTTTTTAATTAAATAAATATTTATTTTTAATATAATTAATTTTAAATAATAATATATAATAAATAATTTTAAAATATTATATTAATTAAAATATTTATAATTTATGTATCTTATTAAAAATTTTTAAAATTTAATATTTAAATATTTTTATTTTGTAGGAATAAATTAAGCATCGAAATGTTGTAAGATGTCTTCAGTTATTTAATCTAATAATCAAGATAATTTTAAAGAAAATATCAAAATTGAGGTTCGAACTTGAATCTTTCCTTCTCTCTCTTAATGTAAAACTTTACCCCATTGAAAGACAAAAAAAAAAAAAAAAAAAGATTGTAAGATAAAACAACTTACAAACAAGGGACAGGTGTCAATATGGTAAATGAGAAAACTTCTTATCCTTTATAGTTAATAATTATTTTGATTAATGTCATAACTAATTTATAGTAAAAAGTATAAAATGGTATTTAAATTTAAAAAATGTTTAATATAATATATAAATTATAAATTTATTAATTAATATAATAATTAAAATATTATTTTTTATCATATATCATTATTACGTTAAATATAAATATGATATTAATTAATATATTTATAATTTTAAAAAAATTTAAATTTATTTATTATATTAAACATTTAAATATAATTTGAAAATCATTCATTTAAATTATTCTCCCTTTTTTCGCCAAATGAAAACTAGAAAGCAAAAAAAAATATTTACCAAAGGGAACTTAAAAAATTTGAGTTTAAGTTAAAGCTATGACATAAAATTATGACTTTATATTTAATATAATATTAGTATATAAATTTCATATACTTATTAATAAATTATATGATAATAATTCATTAATGAGTAAATATTAATTTTTAAAATAAATATACATAAAATAAAATAACTTATTAATTAATAAAATATTATCATTTAATTCGACTCATTATAATTATCATCATTTGATTCAATGATAATTTATAAAATTTATACATTAATAATATATCAAATATAAACTCTAAAACTATTACTAGAAATAGAAAGCTACATGTTAAAGCTAAATCGTTTATATTTTTTTAGCTATAGGGCGAATAATATATATATACATATATATGTTTAATGACATGTTATTTGTCTAAAATTTCAAAGTTAAGTGTCACTCAAATATTAAAAAAAAAATGTTTACAAAATTTCAACTGCTTTCCTCTAATTATTTAATCTCGTAAATGAGATGTATGAGATTTTATTTATTTTTTAAATAAAACTCAATGAAACTTTATTCGGACAAAATTTGTTTGGTTCATAAAATGCTACTAACAATATTTATGTCCTATTCAAATGATTCATATCATAGAAAAAGGAGTATTATTCAAAAATTGGTGGCTTAAGGAATAGAAATGGAGGTCAAACATTTAATTTTGGTTAAAAAAAATCTAGAATTTTGACTACCAAATATTTCAAAACTAAAAATATTCATTTTCAACCTTCAACCATCCAATATTCTGTAATATATTTTCTGGTCAGAACCCAAGCTTCTTATAGTGAACATATATAAATTAAACTCTATAAATTAAATTCCACAAAACAAATAATAATATATTGACCAACTTATGTTGAATATATCATATTGATTAAAACACATTATAAAATGAAATCATTAAAAAAAAAATAAACTAACAAAAATCAATGTAAAATTGTGCTAAAATCAGATGAGGTGAAGCTTTAACTCGAGACTTTAAATGTCAATATGTTCAATGGATTATTGTCTTCAACATTGATAAAATATCTTGATCTAATTTTTTTGGTTGGCCAAGTATCTTGATCCGATTAAAGTTAGCAGAAACAAGAGGAGAAGAGTTTATGAATGATGAAATATCTTGAATATTGATAGCTGTTTTGCAATGGCGTAAGATATGAGCCAAGCTAGTCGTCTCGTCTCCTCGGCCTGTGGTTCCTAATCCCAATTGCAACCTTGATTTCTCACTTATTTTGAATTTTTGTGGTAGTGTTTAGTGAACCGCCATCCGTTGGCACCCAACTTTAAAATCGAAAGCTCGTGGAAGTACTTAGCTTTGTCACCGAGAGTAATTGACTTGACTACTTGATGATTTGTACATTTTATCATCTTCTTAATGTACACCGTAAACAAATAAAATATCGGTTTTTCTCTATCAATAAAATACCTTAAAATTTATTTTATAAACAAAATTTTAACATTTATATGATATATTCAAATTTTTATTTTTTAAAATATTTTATATTAAAATTTGATATCGATTAAAAAAATTATTCTCTTTTTTAAGGTAAGTAAATCTTAAAATTAACTCTATTCATTTATACCATTAAAAAAACTAAAGATGCTACTTTTTTTTTTATACGTATATCGAATTACATCTCCTTAATTTTTATTGTATCCACTGAGCATAAGTACGATCCAAACTCTAAGGGTCATATCTAAGGTAAATATATTTTTATTTTATATTGTCTATTTTTATAATATATAAGTACTATTATGTCAACTTCATTTTTGTTATGCTTGAATCTTTTTATTGTCATATCAGTTTTTTATTTTACATACATCAAAAGCTTACTTAATAATATATAGTTTAACATTAACTTACAACATATAATCTAACATTAATCTATATTTTGGTTATTCATGAATTTAAACATTCATAAAATATCTATAATATTTATAAACTAAATTAATTATGAATAAATATATTTCATATTTTTTATTATTTAAAAATTTAAATCAAAATTCATATTTAATATTAATTAATTATGAATCAAATATAAATAAATGAATCAAATTATTCATGAATTTAATCATTCATAAATTTATTATATTCATAAATTTAATTAATTATTAATAATATTCTTAATATTTAATATAATTTAAATTTAACATATTTATTAAATAATATAAATATAAATAAATTAAATTATACTGATAATAACTTGATTCAGTGATATAAATTGCATTGTTTCTAAATCTATTTTCTAAAATATCTTTAGGAAAAAAATAAATTATAAGTTAATAATATATCAAAATTTTTTTACTATAATACTTTTTAAATATAATTTCTCATGTTGTCCATGATTTGTTGTTATATTTTAATTTTTTTATTTGAAAATGAACATTAGTATCAAAGCGCGAGATAGGATTTTATTTTAAATATTTTATTCTGCCAGCTGCCACGTGGGGTCTACCTGTGGTGCACGCCACAGTGGAGAATAAACCGGAAAGTTTACGTGGCAAGAAGTTGCACAGTTGGAATAATGGTCCCACCTCAAGCCAAACAAAATAATCCTTCCAAAAATTTCACCTTTTTCTAGCCGCCACGTGGCACCGCGTCTAGCCGCTTTCTCTTTCGCTCTCTTCCGACGGCGTTTACCAATCTCTCTGTCTCGCATTTTGCCATTTTTCTCTCTCTCTTTCAGTCAGCACCTCTTCGCCCCCATTTTTCTCACCTAATATTTCCCAGGAAAGTTACGGAGAAAAGAAATTTCGTTTTCCTCTAAATTGATATTTCGGAAACTCTAAATTACTTCGATTATTGAGATTTTAGATGGATTTTGCCCCTTATGCATCACTTACAACGATTCTTTAGTCATAGAAGCGCCATGGATTCGAAGAGGAGAAGAAGAAAACCGAGACTCGAACGCCGCAATGCTGCGAAGCACATCGACTACGATGCAGCGTCGTTTTCTTCGTCTCTCGATGATTCCTCTTCATCTTCTTCTCTAATCACGCGATCGCTCGATTTAACCGATAAAACCAGCTTCCGTATCCAAGGAACCGAGGGAGAGTTCGACCTAATTTGTCGGCGCTTGGGCCTTACTGGACCTGAGGATTTTTCCATCCCAGCCGCCGCTTGGGAGGCCCGTAAAATCCAATCGTCATCAGATCTTCTGCCTCGGTCCAGATTAAACCGGTTGGATAGTCCGAAAGACGAGACAGCCAAGGTAAAAGAAGGCACTGAAGTAACAGTTGCTGAATTGTCTGATATGGTTTTGGCTACTGGGTTGACTGAGGATGACTCGGCTGAGTTAAAGTTAAGCGAGTCCTGCTTTTCTGATAGAATTGTGGTGGATGCTACTACTGCAACCGAGTTGAAGTCAAACGCATGTTGCGTTCCGAATTTTGTCGGTGGAGGAGGGAATAATGGAATTAAAGGGGTTAGGCCACCGGTTTTAAAGCCGCCGCCAGCGGTGATGAAGCTACCGGTGATCGATAACACGTGCTCAACTTGGGATCTGTTTAGAGATTTCGGCCCCGGAGACGATAGAGTGTGTGTGGTTCCGGTTCACTTACATTCGTCTTCCGATGAAGAAGATAAAGGAGAGGAGGGTGGGGGTAATGAAGAAAATTCTAAGGAGGAGGAGAATTTAATGAGAATAGGAGAGACTGCGGTGCTTTCAGAGTCGTGGTCGTTTACGACTTCGAATGATGATGATTCTTCTAGTAGTACAACGGAGCCTATGTCTAATATTTCCCCTAATGGTAGGTTCAAAAGGACAATTACATATTGGGAGAAAGGTGAGCTTCTGGGGCGTGGATCATTTGGATCGGTTTTTGAAGGGATTTCTGAGTAAGTGATTGAATACTGCCTATAATAAAACGTCCGACTCTATTTTCATGTTGATTAGAAGATTATAGGGAGTTCTTTATTTCAAGTTAATTCATCTTCGGATCTGTGCAAACCATTTTGGGTACACCTTAATTCCACACAATCATAATTTTGTCATTTTGGGCGGCACTTTTTTGAAGATTAGAAAGCATCTAGGGTTAGGAGGTGTTATTGGTGTTAGTTGAGCATTTAGAAAGCGCCTTTCAATGACCCCTTAATTCCTTAGAGAGCACCATCCTATGTATGTGGGTTGATGGCTTAATGATGGTTGTTTCATCTTAAGATTGCTAGATATCAATTATATAGTGAACACGAATGGTGACTACTTTTTTGAACATCTCATGTTTTTGCTGTCTCAAACTTTAAGGGGCTGACATATATTAGCCTTTAGAACCGTCTGCCTTTAAGTGTTACTTTGTTTGCTGCTTGAATTTTTGCATAATTGATGATTTGATATACCCATGCTGGTTCACTGGAGATATCTTATTCTATTGTGGACTTCAAGATGATGACTTTAGTTGTTTACTGTTGTTGAAGAGTTTAGGGAAGCAAAATTGCTGTAGGATTTTTGAGATACAGAGTTAATTGCGGAGTTTTTGGATTATCTCAGGCTCTAGGCTATGTGATGGAATTTTCTTGAGTCACAGAAGGAATCATTTGTCTTAAAATTTTTCAAAATAGCATAGGAAAGCCCATTTTGTTGCATTAGTAATTAATTGGTTGTCCACTTGTCTGATAGATTATGCATGCTTTTGTTTAGGAAAGAGATGTTTTTCTTTTAATCATGCTTTACTAATTATTTATCCATTCATTTCCCTGTAGCGATGGATTCTTTTTTGCTGTGAAGGAAGTTTCATTGCTTGATCAGGGAAGTCAGGGGAAGCAAAGTATTATTCAACTTGAACAGGTGAGACAGATTTGTCTTTTAGTTCTTTAAATGTTCATTTTCTTTTGTGCTAATCAATCTTTTTTCTTGAGATGTCCATTTTCTTCTTGTCTCTGTCTATTTAATTTCCTTATTTCCTTTCTCTTTCAGGAGATTGCTCTTTTAAGTCAGTTTGAACATGAAAATATAGTTCAGTATTATGGCACAGACAAGGTACCAAATTCTGACATTTACCTTGATGAGTGGAGTTGATTACCTTAGATATTCTTTGGTTTTTTGACAAAATTGAATATGGTAACCAATTAAAAAATTGTTTCTTTTGTTATTGTTTTTCCTTTTAAAGTACTGTAGCACACAAAAATTACCATATTGTTTGGCTACTTAACACAGTTAGCTAATTTGTGATTCCATTTATAACATTTTAGCCTCCTTGTTCCTATTTTTTTCCTCATCTAAATAGATATTAAACAAAACATTCTCAATATGGCCATTTGCAGTGTAATTTGTTTTTTTAAACCTCAGCAAGATTTTTTTCTTTAAAAAATTAAATTTGACAAAATGTGCACTTTCACAGAAATTTTTTATGGGAAAAAGAAAACATGGCTTATCCTGGAGTAGAGTGTAAATGTGCCAAAAAGAGTGTTAAAATATTGTGAGCTTAATTTCAGGTGGTCTTTGCTTGGTTTTGTCCTCGGAGTCATCTTTACTGTTGAAAGTTTCTTTTGATGCGGCCGTTTGAGGTTATTTTGTTTTGCTAATCTTCAAGTGTTATTGCACTAATGATGATTGACTATTAAACATCTACCTCACCCGGTTAATTCTTGCATTATAAGAAAGGAATAAATGCCAAAGTTTATGTTTAGTGTAGCCTTTTCTTGTTTAGCTATTATGAGTTGATTGAGAAAAAAGATTCTCATTGCAATGCCAAATATTGAACAGATATCTAACTGTTGATGCATGTAAATACCTACATTTATGTCTGCATTTTGGAGCATTATCATGCTAGTGATCTTAAGTTGGATTGTCGAGTACCTTAGCTTAACAGGATGACCTTTTAGTTAGCTTTTTTGTTAATTGCCTAATTTTTATCTTTTGATTTTATGGTCTTTGCAGGATGAATCAAAATTATACATCTTTCTTGAGCTTGTAACTAAGGGCTCCCTTTTAAATCTATATCAGAGGTATCATCTCAGGGATTCTCAAGTCTCTGCATATACGAGACAGATTCTCTATGGGTTGAAGTATCTTCATGACCGAAATGTGGTTCACAGGTAAGGCAAGAGACCTTTTTTGTTGTTGCTCATATATTTATGCACCACTTAAAATTTTTGTTTGTTTTATCTAGCCAAATCTGAGTTTTTATTTTGTACTTCAGTAGTGTGTGTTTTATACTTATATTTGCCAATAGCAAATTGCTTCATATGGAAAATTCACCCATTTAATATGAACATTGCTGTACTTAACTGATGGAAGTTTTGATTCCTTATCTCTATTGTGTTTTGCTATAGTGAAACATAATCTGTATGTGTATGTAATATTCCTTCTTGGAAGACATTTTAAAGTAAAAAATGTGATTTACTTTGATCATGGAAGTTTTTCTCAACATTTTACTTGTTACTATTTTGTTTTTATTTTTCCCTCGAGGTTGAGTACCTGCTTGATCTCTGTTCTCTTCCCTGATTTGGTGTGTGTTATAGTTTTCACATTGAAAGTAAAATTGTTTGTTCTATGTTATACCTAAGTTACTGCAAGCTTTGAACTTATGCTCTCAAGGCTCATCTCCTTGTTTGTTGATACAGGGATGTTAAGTGTGCAAACATATTGGTGGATGCAAGCGGATCAGTAAAACTTGCTGATTTTGGGTTGGCAAAGGTTTTTGTCTGATCCTAAGACTTTGATCTTCTTTATTGTTTTTAGTAGCTTCTAAAGTGATCATATTAATGATATTGGTGCTGGTGTTTGTTTTCAGGCGACCAAGTTGAATGATGTTAAATCATGCAAAGGGACAGCATTCTGGATGGCCCCTGAGGTTTGTCTCTATTCTTTCCTTTCAGAAGTGATAACCTGTAATAGCTGTTGTTTGTTTTTTGTAGAGTATCAATTTCTTCTGTATTAGAGATACTGCTCAAGATATCTAGCTTATAGGAATACTCAATAATGACTATGGTGACAAAAGAAATGATGGCATACATTCTTACTAAATGTTTCTCTTTTATATTAGAGATACTGTTGGAGGTATACTCAATTGTGACTATGGTGACAAAAGAAATAATGACATGCATTTTTGACAAATATTTCTCTATACCGGACAAAAAGATGTAAATCAGTCTTTCTGATCCACCATAATTCCTTGGGCTTCATTGATATGAACATGATTTAATTTCACAAGGCGGCTAGTTTTACTTGCCTGAATCTTAACATTTAGCTTACCATAAACACCTTTTTATTAATCTTTTGTATGATGATGGCACTTCTCCCTTTCTGAAACTCTGCTGCACTCTTGTTAGATCAGACCTGAATGATGTGTTTAGTTCCTAGTTAGATGGGTTCCAGTACTTTTTTTCTAGAAACGCAGTTATTGTTGTTGTCTTTGCTGCAGTAGTTGTTGTATACTTTTTGACAGACTACCAATAATGTTTAGTCTTCCTGAATTCTGATTATCAGCTGTTGAATTACAGGTTGTCAACCAGAAAGGTCAAGGGTATGGACTTCCTGCTGATATATGGAGCCTTGGTTGTACTGTGTTGGAGATGTTAACCCGTCAGATTCCATACTCTCATTTGGAATGTGTACGTTCCTCTTCTTCTTGATACAAACATTACTTTTCTTGATAATTAAGTGATCTTGTATAAGTAAAAAAGAAAAAAAAAAAAAGAAACGGAAGAGATTGCGGAAATTTGTATGTTGTCATCACCAAAACCCAAAATGGCTTATAGAGTTTTAAAGCATGAAGTTGGGTTTCTACCGTGTAGCATTGATTGATTTAAGTGTGTGTAGTAGGATGTCTAGATCAAATGTCCAACTAAAAGTAAGTTGGAAGAGGAGGGGGTTGGGGGGATATTCCAGTTTGTTTCATATAATTTCCTTTCTTCTACAAGAAGTTGCTGGTTGTTGTGTTCACATGAATTTATCTTGTGCTGATGCTGGAGAGCTATGAACAACTGCTATTGTTGAGTTAAAATTTTGATACTCTCCTTTTTTCATGCAATTGTAACGTTTGATGAAAATTGTTCTGTTGTTAATGACATCTTTTTCTGTAACTCGAAACAGATGCAGGCATTGTTTAGAATTGGCAGAGGTGAGCCACCACCGGTTCCTGATTCTTTGTCAAAAGATGCACGAGATTTTATCTTGCAATGCATACAAGTCAATCCAGATGCTCGGCCAACTGCTGCTAAACTCTTACAGCATCCATTTGTGAAGAGGCCTCTTCCAATGCACTCAGGCTCAGCATCTCCTCATCTTGGCCGGCGGTTTTGAATGTTTAGCCTTGAATTAAATTGGAACAAGTAATCGGGTAAACATTTTCCTCTTATCCTATGTTTATATCTCCTTGTTGATCATACTTTAGTTTGCAGTTGAAACTAGCATGCTTCTTTGGTCAGAAGAAACATTGTCCTGGAATCTGCATTGTCGCAACATGTTAGCTATATGAGATCCTAAGATGCCTGAAACATCTTGTACCAATGGATATATTCATTCTTGTCCAACATGCCGTTGTTAACAATTTAGCATGGGATTTGGGGCTTTTTTATATTATTAGTTTGTGAAAAGCTACACATTAGGGAAAAAAAAAAAAAAAAAGCTTTCGCAGAGTCTGGTTGATTTTAATTTTTACATTCAGATGTTTTTGCCTTTTTATGCAGCTCTGTCCATCATGAGTAAGAAAACAAGTCTGCCTCCTCAAGCTCTAGGCTATCCTTAGTTTTGGCTCTAAAGGCTCAAGAGTCTGAAATTTGTTGGTTTAAAACAATTCCGAAGCATTGCTATGGCCTAATGGCCCTGCCATAGATCTGAATTTCCATGATCCCGCCATGATGCTGTACAGAGCAGAACTTCTCTTAATCTTAAGTTATTTGTTGTCATATTTTTTGTCTGTTGTGGAATTTTGATTTAGCCTGTTTTTTTATTGGGTGAAACATTGTAGGGCAAGCTGTAGAAGAGAATTGTTGTAACAACGAGAAAGGATGCAGTCTCTGTACAGTTGAATCTCATTATTGATGCAAATGAATAGTAGTTTGTTTATGTATGTTGCATACAATCAAGTTGTGTTTTTATTCTTTGCTTTTCTTTTGAAAATTCTCCGTCAGAAAAGAAAATAAACTTGATCAAATATCTGATTCACATTACTGCATTAGGTTGATGAGTCCAACTGGCGGCGGAGTGGGTCCAGACTCCATACCAGAGGCAGTTCGAAGCTTCTGGTTTTTGCCAAAAGGCCCAAACTCTGGGCGTGATAGGTTTCAATTTCAGAACAAGACAAACAATAAAAATAAAATTAAAAATAAAAGAGACGTGCGTTAATATGAATTGGTTAACATAATTCGTTTGGTATATTACAAAAGAAATAGTAGTAGTAGATTGGCAGGTCAAGAAACTTAATCCATAAATTCTCGACTGAGCTCGACAAGTGAAGAATCTTTTAGCTTTGTTTTGCATCGACTCTTCAAATTTGAAAAAAAAAGGGGGGGGGAATTTGTCGCATTTGAAAATGGGTTTAAAGGCAGGTTAAATGAACATTGATCAATCATAATCAGATGGTTGATAGTCTGAATATTATATGTTTTATTTCTTTTACGTAATCTTCTATCTTTTATAATAAAAAAGTCCAATAGATTATTAAAAAAAGAAAACCCGAAAACGTGGACATGAAATTAAAAAAGAGAAAAAAAAAGCATTGAAAAGGTTGGGTTTTTTCTTTGGGCCTGAATTTAAGGCCCAAATAATTAATATCCTCAAGTATCTAAAATTGCGTAAAAATATCGACATGGTGGCGTTAACGTGTTACCACAACTAACCCACTCGGTGCTATTTAGACAGAGATAAAAAGGACAGGGTGTGGGTGAGAAAACTCAGTCTGAGAGGGGTAAAGGCGTAAAAGTAAAATCTGCTTCTCTCTACGGGCACTGCAGCGCCAGAAGGAGCAGCGGCGGCGGCGGCGGCGGCGGCGGCAGCGGTAGCGGAAAGGAAACCTCCACTTTCAAACGCAAACGCTAGATTCCGATTCCCCTTTCGGTATCTACCGTAGATCTCTCCCACATTCATTTTATCTGATTATCAATTCCATGTTCTCAATTTCGATTTTATTGCTTTTTAAAGGTGTTGCATTTTTTATCTCAGTATTCTGATCGTGCTATAAAGGCTCAAGTGTTTTGTCCTAGGGTTTAAACAATGATTGCTTTCACTGCTTTTGTTATATAATTCAATTAGCTTTCCCTCTACTTCTTTTCCTTTAATCGCGTCTCTGGTTAGAAATTAGGCTTTTTTTTATATCTTTTTTTTTTTTTTTTACATTTAATGCAAAAAATGTTGATAATTAATTGGTGTTATAACTTTTTCTTCTTTTAGATTTTTCATTTTCATTTCCATTTTTGAATATTTCTGCACGTTTCCTTGTTTGCTTATCTTTTATTTTTTTAATTTTATTCATTTAAATGATTCAAATTAGTGATTGGAATTTCACATGCTAAATGCTGACAACTAATCATTCATTTGATTGGAGTAGAATCGAAAACAGTGTGATTGCTTTCAACAATTTAAGAGTTGAACTTTTGATTTTCAAGGACTAATGAGAAAAGATTCCACAAGTCCTTGCCTTTGTAGTTCAAAGGATAGAGTTTACACTTGAAACGTTCATTTGCTGGTGCTAAATAGTATATTCTTGTTTATTTTTTTCTATAATGTATAAGCAACAATACAAGGCAAAACCACATTTGATCATGTATTATTTTAGATTTTGCTTTTAGGCTCTGTTTTTGTTAAGGATGGTGTAAATGTGATCAGAGTATGGTGTACATTTTCAATTCCAGTGTTCAGCATATTTCACTCCCTTTTTTTCTCTTAAATATTTTATTATTCTGTCCTGGTCAATAGGAGGAAGCAAATGGTGCTTATTATGAAGTTCATTTTTGTCGTTTCCTCTGTCTCTTGCTTTCTTGATTGTATTGAAAGACCAATCATTTACATGGCATTGCTTTGTGATTTGTAGAAAAGGTTTTTTTACTTGTTACTTAAGCTGTGATTTATTACTAATTTTTGAATATTTAATTTTTCAAGAATACTGTCTGTTTCCCATTACAAGCTAAAATGCTTTATAATAAACACAGTAAAAAATGTCTGTGTGCTTTATGCGTGTATTAAAAGTTTGCAACTAAAGCTTTCTTTAAGTACAATTAAATCATTTTAGAAACATGTTCTATATAGTTAACAGCTTGATTCAAAAGTGACTTATTTTATACTACTTTGGTTTTAAACTTTTTAAAATAAAGGAATGGCCAATAGTTATTGGATGGAGGTAGACTTTTAAAGACTGAATTAATTGGTTAGCAATTTTTTATTCGTTAACTCTATTGAACAGTTTTTCTACTATTCTTATAAAGAGTGTGGAATCATTTTGTGTTATGTTAGTTCTTGTGTTTAAACTTTTTCTTAAAGTTATACAAGCTTCATCTTAATCTGAATTAGTTCTTTTGTTTATGCTTTTTCTTAAAGTTATACAAGCTTCATCTTAATCTGAATTAGTTCTTTTGTTTATACTTTTTCTTAAAGTTATACAAGCTTCATCTTAATCTGAATTGGGCATTACATTGAAGCCAATATATGTCCTTGAAAGTCGGAACTTAGAAAGAAAGTTTTTGAATATAATTTTATTGTGGTTTCCAGATAATTTGTAAAGGGTACCATGCAGGTAAAATATGTTCTTGTAACCGACAATTCTTTGGCGACTTTGATGGAAACTCACCAAGAGGTCAAGGTTTCAAACGGGTGGACCGTTTCTTGATCTGGTGGCTGCCATCCAATACATGCTATGGGGCGGGTTAGGGTAGCATGGGGTATAGGACAAGGTAAGAGTGCTAACAGTGTAATCGATAGAAGAATGGAAAGTGGTGATATATTTAAGCTTTTATGCTCTTTCATATTTTGTTTAGCACCGTTTTACACCTTTCGTGTCAACTAGGCTTCTATTTTCTAGTTTCAGTGAGCAAGGGTGTTTCCTGCTTTGAAACAGTTTTCTGGAGGGTACTTGTGCAGAATATTCTTAGTTGTCGTATATAAATTCCTGTTGTGGCTTCTCTTATATATTTGCCTCATTACATATTGTGAATATTCAGTTAACACACAAAACATATAGAGTAGTTAATTTGGTCACACAAATAATCAGTCCTTGGATTAAAATTTCTGGAGTGTCTTTGTGATATTGCTAGTGGTAGTATTATTAATAATTTCAACCATCATATGCCATCCACCAACAATGAGAATTAGTCTCTGATAGCGTGATGCTCTACGTCTGTCCTTTTTACTCTGGATCATCCACTAAGTGCATTGGCCTTTGTGTATTTTCATAGTATTGACGTTTGGGCGTATACCATCTAAAGAAATGAGGACAGTGCTGAATGTTGTCAACTGGCCTAGAAGATTTCATGCACGTGTCTTTGTCTTCTCTTGGCAGACCTGTCTGTTTATTATCAACTAAGATTCCAGATAATGCCTTGTCTGAACGTTGTTAATTGTGCTCAGGATATACCTTCTTGCTGCCTGATAGTGAAGACATGTTCTGCTTTGATTAGAGATATTACAGTTAGTTGAAAGAACGTACATTTTCAGTTTTTAAGTAACAAGAACAGGACCTTTGCCAGTCTTGAAAGTAGGAATAGCATGAATGCTCAAACAGTACTTCAGCTTCTTTAGTCTAATCTAGTCGTCAGGTCTATTGATATTGGTTGACCTTTGTTGGTTTTCAAAATTTTGGCATTGGATTCCATTCTTTGTTACCTTAGAAGTTAGAATTCTTTAGCATGTTAGGTGTCTTTTTCTGAGAATATGTACCCATTCTAACAATAAACTCTCCTTCCCTAGAGACACATCTACTTAGTTGTCCTAGGCTTTATCCCTGTTTTGTACCTAAAACAAAGAACATTTTTGCAGTATATGCATTAAATGCATGTACTGAACTTTGATTTAGCCAGCAATATCCTGTGTTGTGGCATGCAAATTTTAATAGGCTTTCCTATCAGAAAATATGGAATATGTGATCAAGGCTTTCTTCATCTCGTGTAAAGTGCTAGGCATTTGTTAATCTTGTTTATGTTTTACAAAAGTTTTTATTGTTAAATGGATCTGATATCTCTCTATCTCTCACCTGCTTTAGGTTTAAATTGCAAATGGCCAAAGTTAGCAAAGAGAGAAAGTCTGATTCTCGTCATAAAAGGGTGAATCCTTATCTATTGCCATCTTGTCCTAAGAAGGCTTGCAAAGGCTCCCAAAAGAAAAAATGTTCCAAAGCTTCAGAGAAGAAAGATTGGGAAGGTGCAAAATGTTCTGTTTGTCTGGAGTTCCCGCACAATGCTGTTCTTCTTCTTTGTTCCTCGTATGATAAGGGTTGCCGCCCTTACATGTGTGCTACTAGCCGGCGCTTTTCCAATTGCCTTGAACAATACAAGAAGGCCTATACTAAAGTAACTTCAGGTGACAGTAGTTCGGTGGATAACTCAAGTCTTATTTCAGGTGTGGGGCAGCAAACTGAAAAGATGGAAGTACCAGAGCTTCTATGCCCTCTCTGTCGGGGACAAGTGAAGGGTTGGACAGTGGTAGAACCTGCACGGAAATATCTCAATCGGAAAAAAAGATCCTGCATGCAAGATAAGTGCCCGTTTGTTGGAACTTACAAAGAGCTCAAGAAACATGTAAGGGCAAAGCACCCATTGGCACGACCTCGAGCAGTGGACCCTGTACTTGAAGAAAAATGGAAAAAGCTTGAAAATGAGAGAGCGAGAAATGATGTAATCAGTACAATAATGTCATCAACGCCAGGGGCAGTGGTGTTAGGTGATTATGTGATTGAGCCTGGCTATCGTGGTATCTACAGAGATGAATATGCTTCAGATGACTCTTTTGACGATGGTTTCATTCACCTAGATTCATCTGTTCGCTTGCATAGAAGATTCATGGATTATGACCTATTTGAGGAGGATGATATTGGGATGCGCCGTGCTTTTCGTGCTGTTTCCCCTGTAGGTCGAACTAGGCCTTCTCGCTTGTTGGGGTCAGTGGGACTAAGGCGAATCCCCAGGGTCCGAGGACGTGATGGAAGACGATAACTTGTGTGTTTACCTCTTAAAGGACTGGACGTTAACATATCTGCAATTCAGAATATATGGATCTATTTACGTCACGTGGTGAAATTTATACCTTGATGTGATGTAACATAGATAGCAGGTAAATGAACAGATTGTAGGAGAGTCAGTCATTGCTAATTAGGTGGTTTAGTCCTCGTAGGTATATGTATCCGACTATCATCCGGTCATGCATAGCGGTCATTTGACAGTCACAGCAGCATAAAAATAAATCATTCTTTCTGTACTCTTGTTCTAGAGGTTGGCAACATTTCTTGTTGTTGCACTTGATGGTCCTTTGTACGCCACGATATTTTTTCTGTTGGAGGAGAATTAAATAATTCATTTGAGATCAGCCTTCGAGCTCAGTGAAACTCCCTCTGTCGATCCATGATTTGAGGCTTGCTTATTTATTTGTATGTTATCCCATTTCGCATTTTCGCTCATTAATTTGACTAATAAAATCACGTCATTTCAACTGCATATCATGATTTGTGTATTTTTTTTATTTTTTTATGTTAAATGTATAAAATATAAAAGTTATTATGTTATAATTTATATTTATATTATGTTAAATATAATTTTTTTTAATTTTTATCAAATTTATATGAGATATTTATTAAAATTTTAAATTTGTCATTTTATTTTTTTTATTTATATCATTACATCTTTAAAATTATTAAATTTAGTTTCAAGTGAAATAAATAAATAAATTTCTTTTCTCATTACGTTGCATTGTCCTTTTTTCACTAGCATGAGAGTGTGGTTGATAAACTATTGTCATGTGAGGTGGTATAACTCGTATCTTTTAAGATGAATAGTAATGTTTGGGAAAACGTTAAAAAAAAAGGGGGTAAGATAAATAGTACTAGTTGGCAAAAAATCCAACGGGGTTTCTCACCTTGAACGAGAGAAAGTTGAGCTGTCAATTGCAAGTGTATTCAAGAAAATATTGGATCTCCTTTTTACAGTTTAGGGATTCAAAAAAGATCGCAAATAGTGGAATAAAAAACGTGCAGGAGACAAAGTAAGCCAGCAAAATGGGCATCAGCTTAGGGATCCAAATCCAGCAATCTCCCCACCATTGGATGATCACTTCCATTACCCTTTCTTGCGTCGCCAAACAAAAGATAATCCTCTGAACATTCGCTTCAATTTTCTCTGCGAAACATGATTAAAAATCCTGAATGATTACGATTGAAGAATGAAATATAAATAAATAAATATACAGGATTTACCCAAAACTTTCTCCTCCCATGTTTGTTCTTCTTCTCACTACTGTTACGATTATCATCCTCCTCAGATGCCATGTGTCGATACTTCCATCGCCGTTTTTTCTTCCGAAAGATTCCCAGAAATGAAATCCCAAGTCTTCTAGCTGTAGTTGGGCACTTCCATTTCTGTTCCTTGTATCATTTATCAGTTATATTTTGCACGGATATGTATGATTCATATAACTGGAGGAGAAGAAATAAAAGGGGTAGAACTTGCCTTTGATTTGTGCCTTGAACTCTTTTCGTTCCATTGAATTTGCTCGTCATTATCTGCTGCTCTCATCTCTTGAGCGTAAGCTAAGAGCTGAGCCCGGCGATCGTAACCTCCTTGGCCCCTCTTAGGCCTTTTCGAAACTGGGTTTATCTTAACTTTCTTGTCAGGATTGGATTCGGAAAGTGGCTGGATGACCGAAGGTGATTCTTCATAGACAGTTATGACAACTCCATTCATGTTTGGCATCTCATTTGCACTCTTCTGCTTCTGCGTCTTCTTTTGATCTGTATTTCCTTGATGCTTTCTCATGGATTTGGTATGTGTCCCAAAAGAGAAAGTTGGCTGAGAATGAAACACTAGCGTGCAATCTTTTAATGGGCACTTTCCTGTCTATCCTCACTCTCCCTCTCTCATGCAATATGAAGAGAGAAAGAGTTCCTTTGCAAATGACCTTCCGATTAAGATTTAAAGGGAAATTGGGTTGTCAAAATTAACTACCTCTTTTGTTCTTAACTTGAAAGCTAACATTTGTAAATACGTAATACGACAAAATTTCATCATGATGATGAATATATGCATATAATGCAAGGTGGATTTGGTGATTAACTGCTTAATTGTTTTATTCTCTTTAATATTTTTCCTGATAGCAATGCAAGGAAAGTGATAAAATTCTAGGGATATTTCATTTTCGTTTGGACCATTCCTAACCCAACTAAAGTTCCATTATTTGAATTTTGGGTTGAAACATTTGATCTCAAAGGGCTTGTCCAATGACCAGAAGAGCTGCCGTTTTACCTTGATCCTATAGACAAAGGTGATGGAAAAGATGTTGGGCTTAGAATTTGTTGTGATCTAAGGCCGATCATGGGCTGAAATATAAAAGTATCCAAAAATATCTCAAACCTTTTTCCTCTTTTGTTTTTGTCACTTCTCTTGTTAGTTTCCTTTCTTAATATAAGTTGGTGACCGTCAGCTCAACCGGCTAGCCCACCTAGAAACAAAAAATTAAAACCAAAATCAACAGAGGGTTAGCCCTCCTTTAAACTTCCAAGTGAATGTCCTGCCTGTTTTTGAAGATTGTCACATTTGATATAAAGAGAAAAATGAGTACAGATTTTGATGAAGTCCCATTTTTTTGAGATCAACATATAGCTAGACTCAATCAACCCAAAAAATTTAAAGAAAGCCAATATTAAACCAGAATCATCTTCTTGTTGTCAATATCACAAGCAGAAATTCAAGACCTATATATAAGGGTGCAGTCAAGTGGCTGACCTATTGGCAAAAAAAAAAGTAGTTGATTTGATGAATGCTTTCATATTATTCATTATTCATTTCAGACATAATTGCTTGTCTGTTATATCTTGTTTTCTGCTATCTGCAATGTAATCCTGTGTGCCAAGTTGCAAAATTAGCCAACCGTAAATTGATTTTGATCTTGAAAAAGAGAAAGTGAGAATCATTTGACTAAAACAAATTTTTGCAGAATCTTGAATATCAAACATTGTGCTAGTTCATGCTTGTTTTGCTGATGATGATTATTATGCTTCAATGGAATGGAATGTCTTAGTTTAACTTAATATATATAGGGAAATTATCTAAGAGGATCATTTCTGAAAACTTCACTTGAAATAAATACTATTTCCACTTTTGGTCCGTGTGAATAAGAAAAAAAAAAAACTATAGTCCCTCTTATGCAAACAACAGTTTTTGAAAAATCAACAATGTCTCCTACGCATCAGCTTTTCCACTGCCACTCCAATCTGCTTTGAACAGCTAATCAGACATCGATGAACATTAGTTGAACAACTTTAACACTCCAATTCTTGAATAAAATGTGAATATATATTGAAAAAGAAGTGGGGAAGCAGGCTCGAAAGCAGGGATGGTGAACATGAGGTGCCACTTGAGCAAAAATCTCATGCCACATGAGCAAATAGAAGTGTGGGCAAAAAGAAAACTGTCTTAAAACAATAGCAAAATCCAAATGAAAAAGCCCAAATCTATTCTCCTCCACATACAATCTTTGAGATTTTTATTTTTTATCTTGTATTTTAATGACCCTTTTCTAGGACAATCACATCGTACACATTATGAGGAGCAGAGTTGTTTTCCAACCATGTTCACGATTAGAAAACAAAACAAAGGCTTGTCAAAGTTGCCCCTCAATCTATGGACCTGATTCAAGTTTGACACAGCATTTTGTCTGCTGGCAGCAGTCTAGAGAGAGAGATGAGCTTCCAGAAACCAAGGTGGCTCAAAGCGTCACCAAAGGGCCAATTTCTCTCCTAACTTTACCCCCCTTGACACCCTGTTAGCCGCCTCCAGTTGTGATCACTTTGTTATTTGGTGACCCTTCCCATTGTTGTTACATTTAACCTTCAATCTCTCCTCTTTCTTCTGCATTCATCAAAACCCACCCCATGTGTTTCTTCATTGGCCGTTGGCCTCTCCCATGCGCCACTTCCCATTTGAACAGGCAATCAAAATTTGTCCATTTGCTTTCACCTTTGGCCCCCCTGGTTTGACACTTCTCCAATCTCCTCTCCCAATTAGTCCTTCCTCCCTCTTAACTTTTACGTCTTGATTAGTTGTCTAAACATTTATTCTTTGATAGTCAAAACTGTGTTATGTTACATTTATTAAATTTTATATTATTTGTAATTTCGTATTTAAATTGAGTTTTTTCACAAATAATTAATTAATTTTAAGTTTGTATTGACATTAGAATTCAAATTTTATTATATATTTTTTTTCTTATACTCCTATTGAGTTGATCACATGATATTTTCACCCATACGTAATAGACTTGTTAAAATAATATTATTGAATATTTATTAATTCTTAAATTATTTGTAATTTTATATTTAAGTTGAATATATGAATTTATAATCAATTAATTTTAAATTAAATATTTAATATTAATTATCATTGTTATTCTTTTTATAATGGGCAGAGTACCTTTTAGTTTGTTTTAATCTAATTTAGTCTCCTAATCAAATGTTTTTAAGAATATACTTTTTTCACGTCAACTTGCTACATTCAAAATTTTATTTTTATAATACTTACAAATATCAAATTTTAATTAATATGAATATGAAGCCCCTTTCTTTACAGACCACTAACCGTTACTCGTTCGACTCTCTTAATTATTGACTTGCCTCATGCAAATTCAAAAAATCTTTAAAATTTTAATTAGTCTAATGTACTAATCTACAATTTTACTAAACAAGTTTATGAAATATTTTATTTCAAAAAAAAAATTTGTGAAAGATTTAATTAAGCTTATCTAGAATTTGAAACTTAACTCTATTAATTTATGTAATTATTTTAAAAATTTTGTTAATAAAATTAAAATTAAAATTTCAATACTTATAATTCATTCTCCTATAAAAAAAAAAATTAATCTTGTATAATCAGTTGGACCGTATGCCTTTCACCTTTCGCCAAACGTGACCGGATTGGTATCTTTTGAAGAAACTGGATAGATATTTGATGATATTTCTTAGCTCTGATTTTTAGATTTTTTGTGGTAGAAAATAGTAAAAGAAAATCTATCACAAATATCTATGAAAATTCTTTTCTCAATTTGTCAAAAGAGAAACTTGACAAATGATTCAATTTATAACCTTAAATTTTTATTTAAATGATTTTAGTTTAATTTGTCAATTTTTTTTTATAATTGAAATTTTATATTTAAATTAAAGCAGATATTATCTGCAACATAAAAAAAATTAGAAGCATACCCTATACATACTTAAATGGTGGCTTATACCTCATTGTTCACAAAAATTTCTATTAGCATGGTCACTATATATTGTAAAACATTAGAATCAACAAAGAATGGAGCTCTCACAACAACAACTTAGTTGGAATAATTTCTCTTAAAGAGTTCTTTTTTTGGGTTCCTTTCCCACCAGACATAGAGGAAGGTAGCAGTCCAAACAAAACAGAACAAAATAATCTTAAAAAACTTACTCTTGAAAGGATTGATCGCCCATAAAAGGTTATCATCTTAACTTGTAAAAATCTTATTAACAGATCAATATTTATTAATTCGAGTGATTAAAAAATTTAATTTTTTAATAATAAAATTTTGATTTTAAATCTTATAAATATTAAAAAATTATTATTTTATGAAATTCGATCTGACTCCATTTTGAATTAATCAAATTTTAAAGTAACTATCAAATACTAAAAGATTTTTAAAAAAATCCTATTAACAGAAGATGTTTGGAGTACCATATAGAGAAATCACAAACAAAAAGTAAGTAATCCCTTCCTTCTTCTTCCTTCTGACATAGCAAGCAAAGAGCATTTCGAAAAAGAAGCCCCAGAATTTCATTCTAGCAAAAATAGTTTTTTCAACTTCAATATTTTGAGAGGCACTCAACCTTAAATGTCATGCCAAGGTGGGTAAAAAGTAAAAGAAAAATCATCACAAGGAAAAACCCTGCATGCACCCCAATCGTTTTTTCCTCCAAATAATAAAGTCTTTTTTTTTTTTTAGCTTGATTAAGTAAAAGGTAAGCCTCGTTTTGTTTTGTCCTATTGAAATTAAAGTCAATGACTGAATTATCACAAAGTTTATTGCTTATAAGAAAGGATTTCTGATGCAACAAAATGATCCTTGACCGTACAGCTAGTCATTTGATTAATATAAATTCCATAGGCCTAAGTATGTAACATTCTTTATTAATCAACCAAATCACTTAATTATAACTTTCTAATTATATGAAATTTATTCAAAAATTCCATTCTCCTTTTGTACTTCGATGCTTCATCTTCAGGTAAAGTACAACTTTGGTGCAATACAATAAATATAACAAAAGTTAAAGTTGAAAGGTTTACCCTTTTCGTTGCTTGTTTTGAGCTTTGATAACGAGTGTTTTAAAGTTATTTTTAAAAATTATTATATTAAAATTTTTTAATTCATTGAAATTCATAATATTATAGGTAAAATTAAGGATGACATCGGGTTGGATTCGAGGTGAATTTTGCTCGTCCCGAATCCGATCTGACTTTATGCTTTAGCATATCCGAATCTGATCCTATCTGATTTTTTTATCCGAATTTGACTCGACTCGATATTATGTAAATCGTACCCGATTCGATTCGAAATTAATAAAATATTATTTTTTAATATAAAATATTATTTTTTAAATATAAATATTTAAAAATATCATTATATAAATATATAATTAAATAATTAATTAAAAAATAATTTTTTATATAATATCAGATCGGGTCGGATCGGGTTTTAGGCATACCCGAACCCGATCCAACCCCGATTATTCCCTAACTATACCCGATCCGAAAATCAAAATTAAAGAAAAAAAAACTCGATCCCATAAAATCGGATCGAGCCAAAACCCGTCGGAGACGAGATTAATTGCCGTCCCTAAGTAAAATACACTTATACTTTTCAGGTTTAATAGCAAATACACTTATCCCAATTTACTTTGAAAAACACCTTATTCTCTTAAAATTTGGTGAAATATACATTAACCCCATTCTTTATTTTTTTTCTTGTCATTTTTCAAATATTTTAACTTTTTTTTGGTTCAACTACATATTAATTTTGAGATGAATGTATTATGTTATTTTATTTGAAATAAATTAATTACCATTATTTAAAAAAATTTATTAAAATGAAAGGATGAAAAAATGAGGGTATTTTAAT